ATTAAATTTATCATAAGCTGGGTGGTTTATAAACAACAGAATGTCCAATATAATTGCAGTGGCAAATCTGATCTCATTTGACTCATGGATGATGTCCTCTAGTTGTATTTTCACATGGTAGAATGACAAGAGAAGTTCTTTTGTGCACTTTTATAAGGGCACTAATTCCACATATGGGGATTCCTCCCCATGACCTGCTCATGTCTCAAAGGCCACCACTCTTGATGCCAAGACTGTGGGCATCTGAATTTCAATACAGGAAAGGAGGGCACACCTCTTCTGACCATAGCACTGCTAGTTTGTTGTCACTATTATAAAATATTAGTTGAGAGTTCTCAATCTCAAGATCTATTTAGATAACATTAGGTACTTTACTAGACAGGCTTGTTCTGAAGAATCAAATATATAATCAGGTGAAAATTCCAAATTTACATGATATAAACATACTGATGATGAAGTAATCATTAATACTTATCTGCTTAAGTAATACTGCAGACCTCATTGTCCTAGTTGGCTTCTCTGTTGCTGTGACAAAACATGGATCAAAACCAACTTAAGTGGAAAGGGTTTATGGGTTTACACTTCCATGTCACAGCTCATCACTGAGCAAAACTAGGGAAGAGACCTGGGTGCAGGAACTGATGCAGAACTGCGGAGGAACACTGCTCCCTGGCCTGCTCCTCATGGTTGGCTCAGCTTGCTTATTTATGCAGCCCACAACAAACCTGCCAGAGGTTGCACCACCCAGAGTGGGCTGGGCGCAGCCATACCGATCATTAATCAAGAGTATGTCCTAGTCTGCCTTCAGACAAATCTGATGGAGGCATTTTCTCTACTGAGGTTCCTTCTTCCCAGATGTCTCTATGTTGTGTCAAGTTGACAAAGAACTAATCAGCACACTCATTTAAAATCTTTCTGGAAAGAAACTTTGTCCTTTCTCTTGAAACAGGGTCTCTGTGCAGTCCCAGCTGACCTGGAACTCACCACATAGACCAGTCTGGTCTCACCTCACAGAGTTCTACCTAACTCTGCTCTGGAATGATCAGAGCAAGAAACTGTGAAGTCTTTTTGGTTAGATTTAATAACACAGAAGAACAACGTGTGTTTTTAAGTAAACTGCCAGGCCATAAACTATCAAGAATACATATAATTTAAAAAATACACATCAGCAAATATATTACAACATGTTCAGCTGTGGACTGGATGTTAATTGAACCCGTACCACCTGCTAGGGATGAGGCCAAGGACTAAGAACATAAAGAAGAAAAAGGTGGCATGACCTCCCCTTTACATGGAGCCACCGTTCTCGCACTGCAGAAAGTCCTGAGCTGAGAAGCCTCACTTAGCTTAAGCTAGGCCAGGACTACTTCTGATACCTGATCCAAACATCAACACTGAGTTGCTCAAAGACTGAACCCTAAGTTCCACACAGCTGGCCTACCACCTGGCAAGTTGAAATATATTAACAGAAAGCTAGAACACCTGCTCAACTAAATTAGAGCCAAGGTTTCCATACCAATAAACAGTACTCACCATCCGACTGCAGATGCTTAGTTTCCATTACAAATGGGCAAACATGAATAACCAAAGTACTAAGTCTCCATGGAGAGTTAGTATGTCCAGAGTAATGTTCCCTAAGAAAAACAATTCAGGTGACGTATAAGACAATGAATTCAAAAATAGCAATACTGAAAATAAAGAATTCTAAGAGGATATAAATAAATGCCAAAACAAATACCACAAAACACAGTTGAATTAAATTATGAAAATAAGTCAAGAAATGAAAATAGAATTTAATTTATAGAACCTCTGAAGAAAAGCAAAAATGAAATAAGATTTAAAATAAAAAATTCAGGAATTCAAACAAACAAACAAAAAAAACAATATCACCATGAAATTTGTATCTAAATGGATGGAACCGAAGATAATCATTCTGAGTAATGCAACCCAGACCCAGAAAGACAAATGTCACATGTTGTCTCTCATTTGTAAATGTTGGCTTCAACACTCAGATAGTTGTGTTTCTGCTGCAATACTCACAGAAGTCAGGGCATTGCCAAGAGACCATGGAGAGGAGCTTTCAATGATAGGGAGGAAGAAAACACTGATATAAAGTCTTAAAACAGAATGATAGAGCAAGAAAGGTTTAATTATGTTGGGGGAGCAAACATCAGGATGGAGAAGAGAGTATGTGAAGAAATAAATAGCATTAAAGGTCCCTTTAAAAAGTGATATGGAAACCTACTACTGTAGAAGCACATATATGTGTATATGTATGTTTATGTATGCTATATATTTTTGCAATAAAATTTATTAAATATATATATATATATATATATATATACTTAAAATGATGTTATCCTAATAATAGGCAACAATACCCTTACTAGACACCACATGCTAAAACTAAAAAGGCCAGTACCAAGAATGGTTACTTCTTTTGAGTTGTTGGACAGTGAAGTCCTATACACCCCCAACCAAACATTACAGGCTATTGCCATTGCTCATGATTGCCTTCCAGAGCTTGAAAGTAAAATTCTACTGCTAAAGACACTACATATTTAAATCACAGAACATGGAGAAACAAAGCTGGTATTGACTCAGAAGTTTCATCCTACTGAATAGCTTACATTGTTCTGGAAAGGGCTATAAATGCTATCAGAGAAGAAAAATAATCATCAATTAGACTCAGCTTTAAACCATGCAAGTTACAATCATGGCTGGCCTGGCAAGACATGTTCACTAGTGCAATAGTGTCACAAACACCATAGGAGTCACCAACCACTTTTTGATTGGATTTAAGTCCTGCTCTGGAAGATGAAGCCCAAAGCTGGAACCATTATGGGGCCAAGAATCGGTAGCTAGACAGATCAGTGCATCACTCGAACCTCATTTGAGAAGCTTCTATTTGCAGCAGATGGTAATTAACACAAAAACCCACAAACTGGACAAGGTGTAGAGAATAAGACACTATAGAATGCTCAGGTCTGAAAGGAACATATATACTACAGCCCAACTCCCTGTGCTTAGGGGTCATTGTAGTAATGAGAGTAGAAAGAATGTAAGAGCCAGGGGTGGTAGATGACTACAAAGAAACAGCGTCTTCTGGACAGAGCAGGACAGATGCATTATGAATTCACAGCAGTTGTGGCAGCATGCACAAGACTTGTGCAAACCCAAACCTGATAAAATTTCAGCATGGAGGTGTTGTTTAGACATGAAATCTCACCCCTCGCCATGGAGCTATTGGCAGTCAGTAGTTAGGTGCTAGGAAAGGGAGAGAAATTTTTCTTTAAGAACGCTGCCCTTGGAGAGCCAACCATGCTCCAGATGAAGCCATAGATCTGGGAGTGCTTGGGCAGCATAAACTGGTCTCAATGGGTTTTGTTTGTTTGTTTTAAAGACACAAAGGTGAGTGAGTAAGGACAGATCAGCTGGAACTAGGGGTTGTGGAGAGTGTAAATAAGATCAAAACACACTGAACAAAATTCTCAAAGAATAAAAAGGAAAGTTTTAAGAATAAATTTGATCGATTTGAACTAGGGGAAGATACAAATCCCAAATTATTTGGATTTTGCTTCCGATAATTCATGTTTTATAGCTACAGTCTACTTTTTCTTTACTTGTGTGAAGCCTTGTCTCTCCCTGAACCAGATTGGGGACCAGCAAGCCCTAGGGATCCTCCTATCTCTGTCCCCTGTAGACCTGAAATAACAGAAGTATAAGGAGAGCCATGCTTGGCTTTTTAGGTGGCTGAGAAATGGGAATTTCATTTCAGATCTTTGTGTTTGTACAACAAAACTCTTACCCACTGACCCACCTCCCCAGCCCATAAAAACTTAAGCCAGGCATGGTGGCACACTCCTTTAAAACCAGTACTCAGAAGGCAGAGGCAGGGAGATCTCTGAGTTCAAAGACAGCCTGGTCTACAGAGTGAGACTGTCTCAAAAAAGAGAAAGAAGAAAGAAAAAGATTGATTCACTATATGCTTTTTTAGATGATTCATTTAACTACTGGTAAATTCTGTTGCCTATAAGAAAGTTGTTTGAACAGCTCACTGGCAGCTTGTGGGGGGATTCCTTAGAAGGGCCAATGCTCTTCAAAACTTACTGTTTCTTTCAGAATTATTTCCAAAGAGCAATGGAAGAAAACTTGTCATGTATTTACTATGAGCCAGATGGAGACACTGCTAAGACATTTTCCTGGGTCATCTCATCTGAATCTTAGGATTTGGAATAAGTAGACCTAATTTTTTTTCAAGTCTACTTCATACAAGATTTTTGGGTCAGCTAAGACATTCACTTATCAAATTTCTTTTGTAGGTTAAGTTCACACCATTTAATGATATAAAATAATTATTTTAGAAATATATCTTTCTTTGTCAGGAACTTAGCTGAAACTAACCAGTCTCACAGCAAAAATTGTGAGAATATGGTTCATTCTCACATGGGTCTACTTTGAAGACTCCTCTTTTGAACACATAGCCAGTCCCTGAGGATGTTTTCTACCTTTCTCTTCGGATGCAGGAAGTAAAGTAGATGGCAAGGAAAACATTTTATTAGGGCTAAATGAAAGGGGGGGCTGAGAAAGTCATTTTCCAGAATAAAATATACTTGTATTCATCTAATAAATAATAAAGCATAGTCTTAAAATAAGCACAATACGCCGGGCGATGGTGGCGCACGCCTTTAATCCCAGCACTCGGGAGGCAGAGCCAGGCGGATTGCTGTGAGTTTGAGGCCAGCCTGGGCTACCAAGTGAGCTCCAGGAAAGGCGCAAAGCTACACAGAGAAACCCTGTCTCGAAAAACAAAAAAAAAAAACAAAAAAAAACAAA